CTTGTTTCCCACTGGGGCGGGGAGAGTTGCAAACTACAGCGAACTGCCTCAGAGCTTTATATTAAGTTACTTGCGTGAGTCCTGAAGGATGTTCTCTACGGCACCGCAGGTGGAGACGCCTCTTCCCATACGGCAAATGTTTGCCCTTGCAGTGGTGTTACTTAACGAAAGTTTTTGCGCTACGATGCTCCTCCCGTACGTGGGACTTCTCGTCGCCCATCTTCAGAATCGACCACCCGAAGAATCGGGTTACGTGTCTGGACTACTTATTGGCGTGTTTATGTTCGGGCAGGTGGTCAGTAGCAAGTATTGGGGCTACCTAAGTGACAAGTACGGTCGTCGCGCCCCCCTTATCTTTGGCCTACTGACCAGTGGATTAATGATGCTTGGGTTTGGCCTCAGCACACACGTTTGGGTTTGTGTTGTGTTCCGTTTCTTTCATGGACTTTTCAATGGCAATGTTCTCGTGGCGAAAACGGTGCTTGCGGATATCTTGGATAAGACGAATGAGACTAAGGGGTTTACTTTGGTGAGCCTGACTTACGGATTTGGAACGCTCATAGGCCCAGCGGTGGGTGGTCTCCTCTACGACCCCGCAAACAGCAAGGCGATGCAGTGGGCCGGCTTTAACAAAAAGGGAATTTTTGCGCTTTTTCCAGGTCTCCTGCCAGCGTTGGTGGTGTTTTTTTACACCATCTTTGCCGTGTTTGTGTGTCTTGTGTTTGTGAAGGAGACAAACCCAAGTGTCCAACCATTGCCACGGTGGTTTAGTTTTTTGTTCCCGTGCTTGTGGGAAAAAAAACACATTGCGTCGCCCTTGAGTGACCCCATGGACGCTGTTTCTGAGGCCGTGACGGAGGTCAACACTGCCGATGAGAGAAGGAGGAGCACGGTGAAGCCAGAAGGAGGGGCAATAGCCATGCGTAAATTGCCCCATGGGGCTGCGGCTCTGGGTATGAAGCCCCTGGCATTCGAAGGAGAAGTTGAGCAGGCATCTTCTATGGATAACATGGTGGCGTTGGAGATGAATGAAGAGAACAAAGCAGCATCAGCGGCAGCAGAAGGGGAAGGGGGTAATAGTATAGTGGAGGAAGTGGATGTCAAACCGTTTGGCTTCAAAGAGGCTTTTCTAGACCCCCTCATAAGGGATATAATGATTGTCTTCATGCTCCTTTCAGCCGCTGACATGGCGTTTGGAGAAACATTTCCTTTATGGGCCATTGCCAAGGCCTCCGCAGGCGGGCTTGACTATAATTCTGACGTTGTTGGGCTGTTTATTTTGTCAAATAGTCTGCCGTGTGTGGGGGCAAACCTCCTCCTTCACGTCGCCTGTCGTATGGTGCCGGACAAGATGCTTCTGTGGCGAATAGCACAGTACCACATGGCTTTTGCTGTGGGTTTGATCCCGTTGGCATCGTACACTCCAAGAGCCGGACAAGTCGCCGTGGTGCTTCTCTGTGGTTTCGTGCGGCAGTGGTTTGCCTCCTGGGCGTTTGGTCTCATCACACTTTTTACTGCCCGGGTTGCCCCTCCTGGCTGTCTTGGCACAATGTACGGCATCAATCAATCATGTGGAGCGATGATGCGGTGTGCTATTCCAGTCATGGTCACACCCATCTTTGCCTGGTCCATCTCGGGCAACCACCCCCCGCCGTTTAACCACATGTTTGTGTTTGTCTTGTCCGGTGCAGTGTTTGCGGCGGCGGGCCTTCTTTCCATTGGCATCACAATAGCAGAGCATCCCTCTATGGACGTTATTGTGGAGGAAGACGACCTCCATGGGCCTGTTGAGGGGGATATTCCTACCAATGGGCGCCGCCACTCGTTTTTGTGGCAGCAGCACGGGGATGAAGAAGGGGATGAGGAAGCGGGGCCGCAGAAGGACGAGGGTCAGGTCGGGACTCCCAACTCTACCGGGAGGGTTTGTGTGAAAAGGGAGCCAGAAGAGTTGCATCCCCCAGTGCACGACGGTTAACTCTCGGTTTTACTTTATTTTTTTTTGTCGGTTGCTGTTGTTGTTGTTTTTTTTTTTTGCTTACTTTTATTCCTCTCTTTCTCTCTCCCTCTATCTTGTCATTTTCTATTCCCGGCCAGTGACCAGGGAGTGGCTGCGTGTGTATGCGTGCGTTGGATGAATCCCCCCTGTACGTAAGGGAGGAGGGGGGGGGGTGTTGGGGGCGGTGGGTCAAAGTGAAGCCTCTCTTTGTTGTTGTCCCTGCACTGTAGGAATAGGAGGGCCAGGACCACACGCCCTGTCCCATAATATTGTGTCTTGGGCCGCTTTAGGGCAGGCATGGGGCATCGAGAAATTTTAAAAAAAGTGGAGGGGAGGAGAGAGGGAAACGTGTGTAGTTGGAGCGAAATTATGAAATTTGGCTGTAAGAGGGGGTGGACGAGTGGTGGCGAAACGCAAAAGCAAAATAAAACTGTTTTTTTTTTCTCTATGTTGCAGAAGAACCGCGATACGTGTTTGTTATTGTCGCTTCGCCCGTTTATTTTGCCGGTTAGGGGAGTGGTCTTTTCAATTTTTCGGTCCTTTTGTTTTTGTTTTGTTTTCTAGAACTGCCGCCGTGTGGGAGTTGCACGCGTTACTGCCCTCTGCCGACTCTCTTCGTGCACACCCTCCCCTCTCGCTCGCTCTCTGTACACAGTGAGGGCTGTCGGCTTCTTCCGCATCCTGCTGCTTGCGTTTGGGCGGCGGCGGCGGGGAGGAACTCAGAAAAAAAAAGGTAGGGGAGGCAATTGATATAAAGAGCGAGTAGAGCCGGCGGGAGTATACTTCATTGAAAAACGGTGAAAACTAACAGAAACAAAGAAGAAACAAAAACAAAGAAACGAGGGAATGGGACAGCACGGATGTTACGTGGGTGTCCTTTCTTCAGGGGCGCTCGTTGCAGCGTCCGCCGCGCTCCACATGCTCATGACGCGGATCCTTCCAGTAGATGTGGTTTCCTACGCCCCCGCCATTACCTGGGGCTTTACCTGTCTTTGTCTGCGGAAAGGAATGAGCTACCTCTATGTGCTGATGTTCACAGCACACATCACCCTTGCCTCGGTTTGCTACTGGAAGATTGGCACTTCGAATGCCGTCCTAAATCGTGTCCTTCTTTACCCGCTGGCAGGGTCAGTGATGGCCTTGGTGTGCGCCCACCCCCTACCCGCCGTACCAACTCATGGGATGGCCGCGGTAGCCCTGCTACAATGCTGGTCTATTGTTGGAGGTCTTCTGATGCTTGTAATATTTCCTGCGAGTATTATCAGTAGCATTGAGCCGCAGGATGTGCGTGGAAGGCGGCTGACAAAATTTATGCGCCAAGCCGATGGAAGGCGAGTCGAGTCGCTCACTGTTTCGTCAAGGAAAGGCGTAACCTTGGATGTCGTAGTGGTCCAAAGAGAAGAGGAGACGGATCGCTGGATAATTTACTTTGGCGGAAATGCAGAGATGATGGAAGACACTGCAGAAGAAATGTCTGGTCTAACACAAATAGTGCAGGCGAACTGGGTTTTCTACAATGCACGAGGGATTGGGCGCAGTAATGGGTATGCCGCAGAGGTGCGGGACCTTGTGGACGATGCAGTTCACGTCGTCCGCCACGTGTCCAACCGCTATTCGATACCTCCAAAGAAACTCGTGCTTTGGGGGCACAGTATTGGGGGAGGCATCGCGGCAGCTGTGGCGCGGCGAGAATCTATGTCGTCTCCCCTTGTCTTGGATCGAACCTTTTCAAGGCTTTCGGACGCAGCTGTGACCTTTTCGCCCTTGCACCCGGCCTTGACAAGGCTGTTGATTCGATACACAACTGGGGAACTTGACGTAGTCGCCGATTGCAAGGCGGCCGCAGGGAACAAGAAGTTGGTGATCTACCACCGCATGGACGAGGTCATCGCGTACGACGTCGCCTCGCTCGGTCGGGGGGACGCCCTTCGTGAGCTGCGTGTGGATGAAGGAATGGTGGTGGAGCTGCGTGGTACACTTGTGCAGTCGCCCCACAACAGTCTTTTGTCCGCATTTGAGGAAAGAATGAACCTACATCGCTGTGTAGCTGCGCTTTTTCGCTGAATGCAGCACGATTTTCCTTTCTTTTGCTTGCTCTTGCGCAGTCCCCCGCCCTGGCCTATTCGAGTCTTCATTGCACGCAGACCCGTGGGGAACGCGAGGGCAGCGAGTGCGTGTCATTTCCTGCGTATCCATAAGTAACAAACCCGAGTCACCCCTCCTTGGCTACCATTCTGTTGTTGCTTCACCATCTCCCGCTGCAGCGGCTGCTGGTTTGAGGGTTTTCTTCTTCCCTTGTGTTTTTCTCCATGGTGTGGGTGTTTTTTTTTTTTGGCACATTTGCTGGGGTGGGGGTGGGGGGTGTTTCAAACACCTTTTGTAACCGAATGCGCTCGCGCCTCTGCCAGCAACTTTCTGTGGGTGTGTCTGTCCAATTGCAGCGTCTCCAAGGCTTCCAATAACTAGTCGCGGGTAGAGCGGGAGAGAAAGAGGGCGCGCGGGACATGACAGTGGCGGGCCAACCTCAAGGCTCCCCGCAACAGTCTGCGGGGACGGCAAACGATAATGGCGTGGGCGCACATGCCGCCCTGCCGGACCTCGAGGGGCCTTTCAAGGAGGTGGTGAAGCGCTCGCTTGACGAGATTCTTCAGAAGCGGCCGGCGAAGCCCATTTGCTTCCTCGTCGACCAGCTCTTGGCAAAGAGCGACAGTCATGAAGTTGAACAGCATGACTGCGTGGTGGGCAACAACGTCCACTGCACGCTGAAAAAGGCGTGCACGCGCAAAAACGGGGCTGGCGTGTACCAAGTCCCCGGTCTGCCGTTGCTCCAACTCGATGCTCCCAACGCCTTCGAGCTGGATGCCGCGCTGCGCCACCTCGACGCACTCACGCCTCCGACGGCGGAGGTTGTCGTGTTCGTTGAGGCACCCAGTCCGCCAACGGATCTGTTCTTTCTGAAGGGTGTGCCGTACTTCACGAACGTCACGGAGCAACTTCTTCTTCAGCGCCGACGTGGGGCAGCCGATGACAGGCTGCTCAATGATGACGACGGCGAGCGTGTGGGGTCCGCCAAAAAGGTGACGGGTCTTTTGCACGATGCCCTCAAGATGGGGGTCACAACCCTGCAGGAGGAGGTGGCTGCGGTGGCCACGCCCGCCTCGCGGTTCCGCGTCGTCGAGTTACCGGTAGTGCAGAGTAACTTTATGGAGGTGTTTGACGTCATTGATGTGGCGCTGGGCATGCGAAAGCACCACTGGGAGGCGCGGGCCACCGCCCAGGCGGAGGTTCCCTCTGCCTTGCTCGCATCCTTCAACCCGAGGATGTCTAGGATGACGTTTTCAAGAATTATTGCGGCCACATTACCACTCCATGAACAGGTGCAGCGCCGCAGGATTGCGTCCACGCTGGAGAGCAATAAGGCGCGTATTCGGCAGCTGAACTATAGCTACGTTACGCAGTACTGGAGAGAGGTACTGCAGCGGCGGGACAAACGGGATCAAGAGCGAGCCATGTTAAGCTCCTCGACCCAGCGCAGTCGACCTCCCAAGCAGGCGCGTTCACCAATGCGGAAGAATCCCTCAGTCAAGAAGTTGAAAACGAACTCCAATACTGTTTCTGCCGCACGTGCTCAGAGACGTGAAAATGAGGATGCCACTTTTCTTCGTGTAACGCAACAGCTGCAGTCTCAGGCTGCGATACGCATTCAGGCGCTTTACCGAGGCTACCGCTCTAGAAAGAAGGCATCCATATCACTTCCGCAGAGAGACCCGGTTGCCGACACAGCATGCTGGGTGGAGGATATCCCCGCCTCGCTGCCAGCACTTCTGCGGCGATCTCTGCAACACCTGAGTGCGACGCATGGGGAGTTGTTTGGAAACTACGTCGTGTCATGCCCACCCTCGCCGCGGTGTTTCACGGTTCTGAAGCCGTCTCGCAAGGTTCTCAATAAAGAAATGGATAACGACGTTGACAGTGAGACGGAATCCTGGGAGGAGGAAACGGTGATTTTGCCGCTAAAGCGACAGGCACAACCCACTCCACACTTTAATGCGCTTCGACGTCTCATGGAATGTGAGCTTCTAAGCAGGTGCAACACCACTGAGTACGCGCTTTCCATTCAGGAGGATTGTAGTGGCCTCTCTGTGCTGCAGCGACACGCCTACGACTGCTACAAGTCATTGGTGCTAAACCTGATGCATATTGCCTTTTTGGAACTCTATCATCGTGGCAAGTTACCGGTAACTGTGCTGGGGTTCTCTGAGTACATGCAACGCCTCCACAGGTCTGTGTTTGGTTGGTTATCGGCGCCGCATCTCTTCTCCCGCATGTCGCTCCGCCTCCCCGAGGACAGTGCACTCGTGCCGCCTGTTCTTTGTGAGAAGAGAGTGATGGAAACAGAACGTGTCTTACTCGCCAAGGCGCATGGAGGAGATGCCCTCTTTGCGCGTCCATACCAAATTCAGGCAGAACAATCGGCGACATCCACTCGAGAAGAGAAAAGCTTAGAGGAAGTACAGCCGCAATTTCTCTCCACGATGCCTCCTGTAGGCTTAGAGAGTTGGTGGAATTGTAAGGATGTGTACGCCGCACCGGCGTTCCTTTCGGAGCTCGCGTGGGAGGCGGCTCTGAGTGAGGCATCTCACAACCTTCGCAAAGGCAAAGTGGCGTGGTGGAGCCTTCAACCTGATCCCGCTATTTACATCAACGGGGAACCGTTGGTGGGGGTTCCGCGGCACGAGCTGCAGGAAGTGCAGGGTCGACCTCGCTTCGATGAGCATGTCGTGCGCATCGAGGAGACTGGGCAGACTTCGAAGACGGCACCGCAAAAGTCGCCCAGTGACACGTCAACGGGATCCCCCCGTGGGGATCATTGGCGCGGCAGTTACCGTGGCGTGGTTGATGGCTGCTCCACAACTGTTTTAGAGGAAAAGAGGACGGGAGAGGCCACCGCAAACACGCATCCACCCGCGCTGGGTGAGGCGTCGTACGTCTCCACCTTTGGTGGCTCACTGCTGTGGGAGGACTTCCACCTGGCGCGCCTGATAAACCAAGACAGAGGCCTCAACGCGGCGGGGTGTCTGCAGATTTACTCAACCGTGCCTCTGTCAGGTCCGTACGGGATCCCCATGGTACACGCCAGTCAACAACCGTTGGTGGTGTCGCCCAGAAGTGAGTGGCGCATGCCAGAGGGCGCCTCACTGCGCGACAGTGTAAATACAGCGGGTGCGTCGGGTTCAGTGGTTCGGTCGTCGCGTCAATCTCGCTCGCAGCAACGTGAGTCGTGGCGCAGAATACTCGATGCCCCCAAGAAGAATGCATCCTTGGCCGACAAGTACCAAATGTCATGGGGAGATTCAAGGCTTACCTTCTCTCCAAGAAACTCTTTCCTGTCTACGGGAAGTACTTCAAAACATGGACGGGAATCCCCGTCGAACTCCCTCCTACTCAGTGAGGCAGAGACGGTTGATGTTGTGGCGCGCCGAGTGGCCGAGCGCGTGCTGGAGGAAGGCAATTTTGTGCATGAGCGTCCCTGGATTACGCCAGTGTGCGGCCGGACGTGGGTGTCGGTCTTTGAACAGTTTGCGGCCAAATGTCTCTCCCAATTGCGTGAAGGGTACTCCGTCGTCGTTGCGGTCAATGACCCGTCGCAGTTGATGCTGTTTAACGCGCTCTGTTTGCTGAAGCACGCCATGCAGTCACCGGCATTAACGCCCGAAGTGCCCGTGGATGTCATGGGTTTCAAATTTATACCCCAGAAGCGTCCTTTTTTGGCCACCGCGTCTCTCCTCTCGGATGAAACGACCTCGCGTCTCGCCTTCATGGAGGGCTTCTACAAGTGCGTGGACGAACTCGTGAGGCATGGCGATGTCTCTGTGGCGGAAACGCAGTACGTGGTGCTGAAGGTTATGCAGGAAAACTCTCCTGCGGGGCTGGCGTTCTTGAACGAAATCCCCACGCTCATGAAAAACGCCGAGCAGGAAACGGATCCCCGCCTTTTGGTGGACGGTATCCTTGCCATTGTGCAGCGCGTGGAACTTTACTGCTGGTTGCTGCTCT